GTCTCCTCCCCTAAAAGCTGTTGCACTGATTCGTTGGAAGATGATTTCTATCAGCAACTTCACGATCTCCCTCGTTACAGTAGTAGCACTTATACTATGGTGTTGGCTGGCGATCTAAACGTCCAAGTCGGAAAATTGTCCTCTGATGAGCTTCATCTGGGCGGCCAACATGGTGTGGGCTCCCGTAACGATATCGGTGAACGATTGCTACAGCTGTGTGAAGATGCTCGCCTCTTTCTTGCGAGCACTAGCGTTCGACACAGCACCTGCAGAAGCGTGACTTGGCGGTCACCAGCCTCGGGCCAACCATGAACGTAAATCGATCATATCGCGATCAGTTGCCGCTGGAGGGGCTGTGTCCAAAACTGTCGCTCAATTTGGAGCACGAGCGTGGACACTGACCACGCACTTGTTTGTGCTTAACTCCGGGTGTGTTTCGCTAGAAGTCCGCAACGTCGATGTGAACGGATTGACACCAGCCAGCTGGCGAAGCCGTGTTCTGAATGTATACCATAGTGCGCTGGCATCCGGACTGAGTATGCGCCCACTGAAATCCGCCGGAGATCACTGGTCGCATATTCGTCAAACCTTACTATCAACAGGCATGTCTTCATGTAGCAAATGAAATTGACGGACTGGACATTGGGTCTCTACGCAGTCTCTGGAACTTATGGATGCTCGCCGACGTATTCCGGCTAGAAGCGAATATAATGACGCTCGCAGAAATCTCAGGGCAGAACTGCATGCTATCCTGAAGAGAGACCGCCAAGCCTGGTGGTCTCACCGTGCCTCGGAGATGAAAACAACCGCTACCGTTGGTAATCATCGTAAGTTATTCCATCTGATACGGGAAACAGGCAGCAGGAGACCTGGTGTTAGCGAGACCATCTGCGACGAGACTGGGAAGCCGATCCACATTCTGTCAAAACGCTTGGAGTGTTGGGCTGAACAGTTTGCAAGGCGGTTTAACCAACCTGAGTTATCGGTTTCTTTTTCGGGCATTGAGCGCCCTTCTCCCTGGGCCGTCTCTTTGGATATGCCCTCACGCGCAGAAGTCAAACGTGAGATCGGACTGTTGAAGTTAAATAAATCGGCGGGACCAGATGATCATCCTCCAGCCCTCTACAAATTCGAGGGACCTGGTCTTGTGGATGATTTATACGAGTTACTAGTGACTGTGGGAGCAGAAAACTGTCCCAACCGGCTGGAGCCGCTCTGTCATAGTCCCAATTTTCAAGGGAGGCTCACGATCGGAATGCGGTAACCATAGAGGAATCAGTCTTATCTCAATCGCCTCCAAATTTCCTGCCTCTGTCATCCTTCACAGACTGACTGACACTCGTGAAAGCCATATTCGTGAAGAGCAAGTCGGGTTTCGTCGAGGTCGGGGCTACATCGACCACATCTTCAACTTGCGTCAAATGTTGAAGCAACGCCATGTTTATTGGCGACTCACGGTCGTCGTGTTTCTCGACATTAAAGGTGCCTTCGACTTAGTCGATCGATGTGTCCTTTGGGACAGTTTGCTGAACATGTGTGCCCGATAAATACGTAAACAGAATCCAAGCGCTGTACGCGCATAGTTCGGGCAGAGTGAGGGTATATGGCAAAATGTCGCCATCCTTCAGTATCACCAGCGGTGTGAGACAAGATTGCCCGCTGTCACCTTTCCTCTTTAACTTCGCAGCTGACGAAGTCATGGAAACAGCATTCGCTGGACACGACCTAAAGGGTGTGGAGCTACTTCCTGGTGAGCGACTTCTTAACTTGTAGTATACGGACGATATTGCCCTAATCTGTGACGGCTCCCAAACCTGCCAAACATAGCTGGACCGATTAGCACTGGCTGTCTATCGTTTTGAGCCATGCTTTGCTCCATCGAAATGCAAAGTACTTCTCCAAGGTACCCACCCCTACGCTAACGTTTTGTAGTGATCTGCTAGAAGTCGTTCCGGAATTCAAGTACCTGGGCAGCTATATTAGCGCCCATGGGATCGAAGATGAGATTACGGACCGTACAGCAAAGCTCGAGGTGCTTTTGCCAATCTCCGCCACCTGTGGCGCAGACGCGACATTACTCTCGCCTTGAAGGACAGAGTTTATAACGCAGCCGTCCGTTCGACCCTCCTATATGATTGTGAAACCTGACCCATCAGGTCGACAGACATAAAGAGGCTCATCATATTCGATCATCGCTGCCTTCGCAGCCTAGCTCATATCTGGTGGGAACACCGCGAGAGCAATGAGCGTGTTCGGCGTCGCGTATTTGGTGCAGGAAGAGCAAGTGAACCACTCAGCACCATTCTATCACGCACCATGCTCCGATGGCTGTGCTACGTGTTGCGCATGCCAGCACACCGACTCCCGCGACGTGCATTGTTTGCGCGCCGGGGATGCGGTTGGAAGAGGAGGATGGGAGGCCAAGCGATGACTTGATCGAGAGGAATGTAAACTCTCACTTCGAAGTTGGCGTCGGTTGGTGCATCCCGACTGCCTGGCTGGGGTCCTAAGGACGATGAACACGTTTGGTTGAACACACTTGCTGATATGACTAGGAGCGGGCCCCAATGGCGTTTGTGTTGTGAGTTGCTTTGTCCATCTCCCTCCTGCTTAGCATCGCTTTCCAATCACGAACTTACTCGTTAGGCATAATATATCTTTTTGATGCACGGTAGCCGGCTGGTAGTTCTCCGGAACGATGTCCATCCGTTAGTGGGGGCTCTGCCGGCGTGCCACTGGTTTTTTTCTTCATGTTGTCTTTTCTGTTGCGATACAAAGGCTGATGTGTTTTCCACCTGCAGCTAACGTGTATAATGATGATGGTGACTGGAGTCCTCGCAGCCTAGGACACATCTGGTGGGGACACTGTGGGAGGAGTAAGCGTGTTCGGCGCCTTATGTCTCAGAACGAGCGTGTGGACCACTCAGTACCGTTATTTTAAATATGAGTTTCGATGGCCAGGCCACGTGTTGCGTATTCCAGCGCACTGACTCCCGCACCATGCGTCGTTGGCGCGACCGGGATGTGGATTGAAGAAAAAGGGAATCAACCGATGGATTGGTCAAGAAGAATAAAATCCCTTACTTCACAGCTATCCTCGGTCGGGTTCCAAGTATGATGAATACGTTAGGTTGGCGACGCTTACCTACACGGTGAAGTAAGGACCATAATGAAGTTAGTGCTGTGAGTTTATCCTTCCCCACTCCACTTAGCCTTCCCTACGAGTACAATCTCTTTATGAATGTCAATATCAAAAAAGGCCTAGCAAAGTATTTTATTTTGTCCTAAATTTGTTTTTTTCTGTTTTAACTGCCACCTGACTGAGTTGTCTTGGGGAACAATAGCTGAGGCCTTTCTGGCCCCCAGCTAATATGGACAATGATGATAATGATGGTGGCAAGGGCAATTACTTGCAGCTGTAACTTGTGGAGCTGGTCTATCCAGTTGGTCTGAAAGGGAGACACCGATTATAGTAAAACAGATTAGCATACTCAAACAGGTAACCGAAAACCGCTTGATGAACCTGTCTTTGCAGTTTTAACATTTCCGTAAACATCCTTCCCTATTGCTAAAGTAGACCTGAAGATCAAAGTCATCGGTGAATAGCATGTCGCTTGGACAATTGTTTACTGCCAACTCCATAAATGGCATGGCGAAACAACTGTGCGTACAGGTTGGTTTGACGGAACGATCGGACATCAGCAGCTCAAAAGTATGTCAATGTAAGAAGGTAATGGGACACAGCCGTCTAGGTTCCTTCGGTCTAGGGTCAATCCGTAATAGCAATTGCCGACTCAGTATTTGTGTACTATCCATCTTGTTGATACTGGTGTGATTGGTATTGCACCGCGATCTACTTACTATGAACAATGAATAACGATTTATCACGGGTAAGAAAGCAGATGCTTAACAACTTCCTTAGGATGGTTGGAATGAAAACTAAATAAATCAAAGGACAAGTAGATCGTCAGTTTAAGCGTCTACCGATTTAACTGCACTGCTGCATAACGATAGCTTGAAATGGGAATCGAATGTGCGCACAAAAGCAATATGGGGAGTGGTTATAGTTCGCGTACACCGTGAGAAAAAGAAATAAACATGGAAATGATAGCGTTCACTCGCGTGCCGCTTCCTTGGACCGATGTGATACTGAAATCCAGTTTGCACAGTAATGACGTTTAATAAACGAAGTGCAGGAAGAGAAAATGTGCACCTTGATTGGTAAAATTGACGCTCGGGCATAAAGAGTTATATTGTGTGATGTAAACGCATGAGTGTATCATTCAGACGTCGTTTGAATACCGTCAGTATAAAGAAAGTAGCAACGTAAACGAGGAGGGCGTTCCAATATTGATACCCACGAAGTGAGAAGAAATTCTGGCGGCATTCCAACCGGCTATACTGGGCGGATGGTCGCAGCTTTACTTGCTGATCGGACCTTAGTGCTGTGCAGCTAGATGAGCAGGGTGACCATTAGGACGGCAACGAACATACACTGGCAGACGAAATAGGTCCTGGTATGCGATTTAGCTCTTCCGGCCTCATAACTATCTGACGGTTGTGACTGGGATTGACAACCACGAACAGCATCTCACCGCTTTCTTCGGATCACTGTTCCTATACACTTCCGTGCCGGAGGTTAAAATCCACAGGTTTGGCCAGCTCTTTTCCTAATTGCCCAGTGTATGCATCACGCGAGTTTGCAGTTATGCTCGTCACTTCACATTTTTGTGTTACCTTGCTTAGCACTAAAGCTTGCACGAATATGCGCCACTGACAAGTTTTAGCAGAACGAAATGCCATCTAGCGCTTTCTTGGATGTGTGGGGACTGTCCGCTTGAGTTTAGCTGAGACAAACCTTTAAAAGCACAAGAAACTCCCATTGTACTCGCTACTACAACCTCATATGTGCAGTCCTATCATCGGCACTTTCTATGCCATTTTTCTACAACACAATGCTATTCTGACAATCTGATGATGCTCTTTTCATCGCATGATAGAGGGACAGTATGAAGTGTCCAAATGTGGCAAACGAATCCACGTGATGCCACCTGGACGATGCTTCGGCGAATTGGCTTTGTTGTACAATTGCAAACGTACGGCTTCAGTGAAGGGTAAGTCAATTCTGTCTTTACTTTCCTCTTGGTCACTCAAATGAATGCTTTCTCGTGGTAAATTTTTATCCCCTATCTCGTCACTGACTGCATCCTTTTCTCATCTTTCTCCGAATAGTTCGATGACTTGACATAGGGCACCGGGAAGTTGCGTACTTACCACTGCACAAAATCATCCTCATCGAAATCGGGCTATCCTAGCTACTTGGTTAGAATTCAGTCTGGCTTTCGCGTCTTCGCAACCATCGTGCGCTGTTTTTAACCTCGGTTACTCAGCCTAACCTCTTCGCCTTCTTCATCTGCTTTTCATATGTATAACTCCTGTTGCCCCTTGGAAAAGTGCCCTCCAGTAGATTTGTTCCTTCAATGCGTATTTGTTGTGAGCCTCAAAGTTACTCAAAAGAGTTCCGGGTATGTTCTAGCGCTATCACTTCTACCTTAAGCGCGCGAACCAGAATATTGAGTTCAAGAATAGGATCGGGGAACCTCGAATTAGTCTCTCCTAAGTGGACAACTAAGAGATATTAACAACTACCACATCGCTCCGCTCCGCTACGTACTAACCCACTGAGCAACTCCCCACGTGTGGGGAAACATTTACAGCCAAAGTGCCAAGTTCAGGGAACAGTTCGTCCGAAATTTCTTTTTATATTTGTCGAATGTGAGGCTGTTTTTTGTAATAGTGACAGAGCATTAGTTAGTTATGGTCACGCTGTTGTGTGAGAGATCTATTCACTAGTGTCCGTGTTGCCAAAATATTCGGAAACACACGGTTTTTGTTGATGTTAGACTTTTTGTGTAACAGTTTCTTCTCATTAGCCAAATATTTTTGATCCATCCTGGACGAACTCATTTGGCGATTTTCCTAATGAGAACATGGCCATTTTGGAATTCTGGTCCGGGAAACTTCAAATTTAATGCGACCTGTTGTTGCATTTGCGCAAGACCTGATCGTGGCTGGTATGCTCTTCCACAGGACAGCGTAACTAAGAAGTTAGAGTGATTAGCTGCCCCAACTCTCCCCACAGTTATTGGGCAATTGTTGTAGCGAATCCTGCGAGTGAAATTGTGTCGCATTTTTAATACAGTCATCAACAGCAGCAGTAGAGAGGTTGGAGTATGTCTTCTGGTTTATCAGATTGTGAACCGTTTACGTCGTCTGTATCATGTCCTCCGTACGCCCGTTGACCTTCCTCTCTGTGCATTGTAAGCCGTCACTACACCAAGTTGGTCGAAACCGCGAGGTGGCCAATAGACGACGTGACAGAAAGTTATGCTTCAGTGACCCGATTTAAACCCATTGTGTCTAATCTAGCTTGCTTTATTATGGTTGTATTAGCCTTATGATGAAGCCCTGAAAACATGCTTGTTCGCTACATTCTGTTTCTGATGTCATCTCCGGGAATTATTTTTCAATATAATGCTTATGCTTAACATAATAAACATGATCAGCTTATGCCTGTGTTTTCCGTGGGGGTCTCTAGACAGTCTACAACAATGACTGGACACCTTATCCGACGTAGGGCAGTTGAGGAGTTAGTAGTGATCCTGCATTAATTTGCTTGCATGTGCTCATTACTATTTCGATTCGATTACGTACACTTTTCCCTATCCAACCCCCTTTTATACTCTATTTGCGATCTACCTCATTTCCACATCATCGGTATTTATTATCACCGTGCCCCTGATTCGTTTGGCGCTGGCTATGGTTACATAACAACGATATGTATTTTGTAGTCGTAATTTACCGTCCACCAGATTTTACATCGGAAATGGACTCCAAACTGATCCACGTTCTTCAGGTTGCTTTGCACAAGTCGCCCATTCACATCCTCATCACAGGCGGCTTTCAGGTGCACGACCTGGAAAACTCGACAACCAATAGCACGCAGTTTGAAGCCTATCTGCAAAATTTACTTTCCAGCTATTCTGTCTACAACCAGGTCGCCTTTCCTACCAGATTTCGAACTACTAACAGGTCGTCGATACTTGATCTTGTGCCCATCAACGAAAAACATGGTTTCAGTGACCATGTTGCTATAGTGTTTGAATATGCATGTTATGCAGAATATCCTGTAGAATGATAAAGTGTGTACTGTCATGCACTACAACGTGTTATTCGTGCTTGTTAATGAGACATCCTCGAACTTCTTGACTTAAACTCCCCAGAAGTCGCCTGGGTAACCTTCACAAAAACATTAAACACACTGGTCGCGCGCGTCGGAAACGAATTGCTTCCATCGTCGAAGGAAAAGCAAGTCATTTCTGAGGAACAGAACACGTAAATGCATGCCTTTCAGGGACTTAGCATGGGGAACTCACAAGGACACCACGAATTCCGAAACCTGGACAGCATATGTGGCTCAGCACAACTTTTGCGTGAAGTCGATCTATTAGCACAAGGTGACGGATCAGTGGGAATTAATGAAGCGCTTCTACACGATCCGCAAACTCTTATACAACCATGTTAATGGCCTTCGCAAGGTGCAGCGCGGAATTCTAGCATTGGTCACGATTGACGGGTGCATGCGTTCAGCAACGGAAGCAACCGATATCTTACGGTTCCATCCTCGCATTCATTCCGATGGATATAATGGGCCTAATGATTATGTCCGTTTTACTGTCCCACCGTCAGGTTTACACAATATCACTTTTACTGCAGATTCTACGTTGAAGATGCTGTTGTTCCTGCGTATCCACAGCTCTTCTGATGCCAATAAGATTTGGTCATTAGCTTTGCGGACAGCGGACAGAGATTTGACGGTACATCTGCTTAATCTCTGCCAGTATTCTTTAGAGGAGCACCAACTTCCAGCAATATGAAAACGATGGGTTTCACTTCTATTCATGGGGAAATACTCGCACTAACTCAACCAATTACCGTCCGATAACGCTGCTTCTTGTGCTTTTCAAAGTTGTGGAATCAATCGTCTCAGATATATAAATGAGCAAATTTATTCTCGCACTGATGCAGTAGCTGGAAAACCACAGCATGATAGCCCCGGGGCAACATGGCTTCCGACAAAATCAATGCAGTATGAAACTCTTAATTGTACCCAACAGCTAGACTGAAGTAGTTGGTGGTGGAGCAGGAGTCTGACTCCATTTACCTGGAATTCTCAAAAGCTGTTGACTGCTTAAATCATCCGATCCTACTTCACAAGCTTCCGAACTACGGTATTGGTTACCCAATGCTGCATTGGATAGACAATTTTCGGTACGAAAATCGGTTGGGCGTGAGTACCCGGGAGCATATAGGCATTGTGCCGATTGTTTTTCCCGCATCGACTTATACCAGACTGGTTGTCTGTCGTCGTTAGCTTTGCCTGAAACAACATCATATTGTTTTCATTAGTTGGTTGCAGTTACCTTCAGCCACATTCCCTCGGACTGCTTATGCTGTGGGGGGGGGGCGAAATTTGCATTTATCTGGGCAGAATGTCTCTGCTTTAGGAGTGAAGTGTTATCACTTAAGTACCTGCCATTTAACGATACATTTTATTGGGTTGTCTATTGAACGCAACTATCCCGTTAACCAATATATTCGCAGTGACCACCGTGGGTTCAAACAGGGCAATCGTTATATTGGATTTTAAGGTGTTGAAATGTGTTACCTATCCTCCGTAACCGATCAAACCGTTCTGAGGCGCCGGCCAAATGCCTCCAGAACGACTCATGCTACACAGTGCAATGGCTATCGGTCAAACCAACGCGGTTTCCATGTCTTTTTCATTGGAATTATACATAGGTGGTCATTGGCCATTTTCTCTGACACCAACAAATGATTCATAAGCTCAGCTCGATAGGAGCAACTGTTTCTGTATCATTTGGTAAACCACACAGTTCCCCCTTTGCTCTTTCTTCTACTCATGCGCCTATGGCCATTACAACCTGTCCGATGAACTGCGAAGACCTGCGCGCAAACTTGCAACTCTTTTCAAACACTGTTGTTAAGCTTAGTTGTGTATGAACTTAAACCGGAGTATCATATCTGTAGTTGTTATCGAGCATACTAATGTAAAACTTCTCATTTGGCTCCAGCTACATTTCTACGAATTTACTATGCAAATTATTGCTCGATAGTAGGAACTATCATTCCTCTCACAGTAGTTACTTGTTCTATCAGGGATTGGTGGCCATACTTTAGTGACTGTAAACAAGCTAGACGGCCCTCTACCATCTACTTCACGAGCATTTAGCTACTTACGGACCATTTTCCCTAATCACGTTAACGGTTGTCGCCTTCTTTGTATTTCAGCATTGGTGCCTTCTCGAGTGTGGGTCCTCGAACGCGCCTGTTTTCAGGCTATCATGATGCAAACTGGCCTGAAACGCATTGAAGAGCGTAAGGCCTTCCTTCGGAGGTAATTCACCTTCTGCGCTGGCTAGTAGCTTGAACGAGCACTAATAATAATAATAATAATAATAATAATAATACGTATATTTCTCCTAATCCGAGAACGTGTGTCTATAGCGGCACAGATCACATTTTACAAAGGTAATCATGCATGAACGATATACATAGGTGGAATATTGGGACTTGCGTTTCATGTAACTACATTTTGGTGGATGGTTGAGATCCAAGCCAAGATTTAGAAACATGGATGGCTCGAGGTTTTTGGGTCCCACTTGGATAGTTCATCAAGGGATTTTTCCGAGGTGAATATAGCCATTATGGTATTTAGATCAAGCTAAATAGGGAGTTTGCTACTAAATGTTGCCACATGACCTGAGTGGGATTGGCAGTTTATTCCACTAATGACTAAATCTGACCAGGAAGAAATGTGTGCGCATGCTTGTTCTAGCCTTTGTACACTCAAGATGTAATCTTTGTTGCGAAGCTCTCAAATTGAGCTATGTCGCAATTAGAGTGTACGTAGATCGGAATAGGTCTTTCTATGTAACAGGTTGGAAAGCAGCAACAATTTGTGCTTCAATTGTAGAAGCTAAAGTGGTCCGAGTTGAAGTTCGTTACAACGTTGGTGATAATTCACTAGTGCTTACCCATCGATGTTTAGTAAGCGACCTCTGCAGGTGTCCCACACCAATTCCGTCGCTCTTTCTCATATTACCATATATTGTGTTACAGTATTCGAGGATGGGGGCAAGTGAGTAGCTTAAAAAGCTCAGTTTTACCATGGGTTGTGTGGATTTTGTTGAATATATTACACACAGATTGGCACGTTCTACTTAATATTGGGCCTGTTTGAAGAAATTGAAATTACATGAGTCCTTAATTCCGAGATCACACTTGGACAGCTGTGTAAGGGCATGTTCATTGTTTAGTGCAATATATCCTTCGGGGATGGACAGCCGTATGACATGATGCTTGATTTCTTAGCCGGAAAGTTCGGCATCAATGTGTAGCGCCATGACTCAGTGGAATGTAGACCCTCTTGAATGAGCAGTAGTGTTCCTTGAAGTTTGTCACACCGAAGCTTATGGAGGATCTTGATATTGTCAGAATGTAAATATGTCCGACCATGTTTTACAGATCTGGTGATGTAATGGACGTGGAGCAGGAACAGGGAAGGAGCCTGCACGCTTCATTGGATGACCACACTAGTGGTGGGGCCTGAAGAAGAGCAACATTCACCTAAAGTGACTGCCTGGTGGTGACCACTCAGGCACGACGATAGCCAACCTAGTAATGGGTCCCGGGTCTCAAAAGCCTCTGACTTTTTAACAACCGCTTATGAGATGCCTAGTCAAATGCTTGATGTATGTCCAGGATCGGAATTACTACTGTGTAGCTGGAACCGATAGACTTTGAAGTATAATTTAGGTAGTGCACTTGACATGTCGTGCGCGATCCCTTGTGACCAATTCATCAGGCCCAAAAAATTAACGAAATTTATCATGCCCTTTCTGGCCAGGTTTTCAAATGACCGATTGCGGTTATTGGAGTGCGGAGGGTTAGCCTTTAATTCTCAATCGTTTGTTTTATACCTCCTGTGTGCCGATGCTTGATAAGTGGCGTTTTCCATTTATCTACAAAGTGGCTGGATTCCAGCAATAAGGGGACCAAGATTATCAGGAGCAGGCTATCCTTGTTTAATGGTGGTTCGTAAGATTCCCTCAGATCCCAGCTTGGATGATGGCGTGATTGGATTGATAACTTGGTGGATATTCTTAAATGAGCTATCAACTCTGCTTAGGGGGTTTGTTACCGCAACATCTCTATACCCAGGTACAGGGTCATCTACGAGAATCATGGAAGTGAATGCTTCACTGATTGCAGCTGGGTCATGAAGTAAGTGGCCCACACCGTTAACAATTTCAGTGATCAAAGGAGAGCGGTCACTGGTTCTACGACGCAGCTTGTTCGTAAAGCTATTCGTTCTTCATTTTGCGTTGCGTTAGCTGTTCATGTTTGATTTTTGTCGTAAATTCGTGTATTTGTAAGCCATGGCTCAGTTGCATAACGCAACGGGCTAGTTGGCACAAGCCACTAGCAGCCATGGGTTCGATCCTCCGTAGAGGCCCGAAGGATGCGCACCACTGACGAGCCCCAATAGGGCGAAACGGCCGTCTGGTGCTTTTCCGGATAGGTAGTGGACTTATCCGAATTGTCGGCTGATTGCGATGAACAACGAAAATACTCACTGAAATCCTTCTACTCATAAATATTATTATTATTATCTACACGTACAATTTCGCTTTTCATCTACTCCCTCCATAATAAGTGTAAGTATGACTTTATCTATACACAGTTGGCCTATTTTCCCGCACTTGCTTTGTCGCGACCATGTACTATTGAGCAAAACCTTTGGTTCTATCGCTACTGCGTCAGTGATTTTAGTAACCTCAGTTGTGAGTACTACTTGTTCGCCTCACATTTTGTCAATATGTTCCCCCCTTTCTCCGAATGTCCAGTGTTCCCCTGTTGAAAGACATGCCTTCCCAGCAAATTTTGCGTATCGCGGATGCCCTAGAAGCTCAGTATCATGCTCCTGGCGAGTGTATTATTCGGCAAGGAGAACTAGCTGATAGCTTCTTCATCATTCAGTCCGGAGTGGTGAGTGCACCCACTGCAGTATGTAGACGGAACGAATCAAATTATCTAAACTATTACAGGCATGTTATTCCTTTTGGCCACATATTCCCCGCATTACTATAACTATTGGGTGTTGTACACGAATACGATGTCCAAAATGTTTCACCTATTTGTTCAAGCCATTCATGGCATTTCCTGAGTCGGTTTTACTCCGGTGGGTTCAATTTTATTCAGCATTCAACCGGGCAACCTAATTCTAGTTACTATTTGACCTACCTTATCGGTTGATAGGAACACAAATTAAACTAGTTCCGTCTCAGTTATTCTGAAATAACTTGTGGATTTTTGTGAGTAGTGTAATGTTCATAGAAAGTAGAAGTCACGCTTAAACTACACACGACAATCTACCTCGACGGGAAATCTAACCCCGGTCCCACGAGTTACCGGTCCCATGCTCTATGAACATTACACTACTCACAAAAATCCACTAGTAATCTATCATCGCCTTTTGGACATCAGAAGGACAGATACCTCGGTCCCTTGGGAAGTGACGAGTGTGTGAGCCAATCTGTAACACCAGGACAGATACTGTGAGCTCATTGGCAATACGTCGCGCACCAAGCAGAAGTCATGTATTAAATTGCGCACCTGATCGTCAGCCCTCGGTGGCTCAGTGGTAGAGCAGCGGACCGGTAATTCGTGGGACCGGGTTCGATTTCCCGTCGAGGCAGGTTATTGTGCGAAGTTTAATCGTGGCTTCTACTTTCTACGAATATTCTGAAATACCCAAAATTATTAGTACACCCTGCTGCATTTTTGAGAAATAATCACTCATTTGCATCCCTCGGAGCCCGCATTTTTTCGTCCGTTTTCAAGCCGTACAATATATGGCATAGCATTCAGAAGTCATGACCCTCATCCACCCCACCCAGTTATCATTAAACTGAATCCATTTCCTTATTCGCATCCACCAAAGCAGTAGCACATTGTCATAAATGGGTACAGAATGCGTCCGCCTCCCTCTAATCGGCTGTTCAAATAGACCGTGTTCCGCCCTGTGGACCCCCAGGTCACCAAAAGAGACCAGTCATTGCCGGCGCTTATGTGTGCATGTAATTTCACTCATGCAGAGCAATACGTCACTATAAGAAAGCCGAAGGGTTAAGGGACAAAAAACCATTGAAGAACAAAACCAATGCTCCATTCCACCGGTTGAGCTGAGTTAAATGCGTTCGTGATCTAACCGGTGTTCAGTCACATTTACTTATAGTTTATTGTGCAGTTTGGCCTGAACACCTTCGAGCTTCCTTTCATTGTACGTGATAGATCATTCGACTTCGGTTCTGGTCATGGTTTCTCTAGCCATGAACCAAACCACATTCTGAGTGTCCGGTGAGGACACAAATGGTCTTGTGTTTGCAATCAGAGTCCACAAGTGACACCCGCTATGACCATCCACCCTCTCATGATGTATGCGTGCCGTCTCTCCAAAAAAAACACCAAAGCAACAGCGTTTTAATGGTGTAGTCATGGTCGGTGCAGTTTGTGCCGAAGTATTCACTTACAGAGACTACTCTTTTGTAACGGGTCCCAATGAGCAGCCGGCTGTGCGCAGCTCCATTTCGTAGCCCTATCAGACTTAGTAAGCAACGGTCTATGACAAGCTACATTTTTATTGCTTCGGTCTATAATCTCATCGACTGTCAAAGAGGAATTTTACGAGCGGTACTCTACTTCTGCCTGTATGTTTGTAGTTGCGAACATCCCCGTCAATGTGTGTGATATCATGTTGTATCCTATCAGCGGCACAGCATTGTAGCACGAGGGATGGTGTCGCGTTACATAACACCTACCGAACCTCAGGATTTTCTGGGCTTAAAATGGTCATATCACCCTTCGTCACATTTCGACCCAAGATTACCGGTCGATTTTGGACGTTTGCCTCGTATCTGTCCATACTCTCATGCCCGTCGGTAGAACGCTTAGTCTTCTCACTCCGCTGAAATGCCCAACTTCGGAACTGCTTTCTCCCCAACTGCGCTGGCAATCCGCGCTTAAGCAATATCAGCCCGAATCATAGATTCTGTTACAACCGAGGAGCATAGTTAGCGTACATACACACTCTATCCGATCCACCGTTGCATCCCACATCTGCGATTTGAAGTCCGTAGACAACTTGAACAGTCTATGCAGAAACGAACCACCCATGCTCTAGGCGCTCAATCGCAGTTTCTGCACTTGATCTGAAGAGATTGCCACTCACCTCTTCTCTGCCATCATAAGACCAATGCTCGAGCACGGACCACCTGTGGCGACGTGCAGAGAGTGATGCGTTTAGCATGTCGCTACCAGTCTCACTCCCAGTTCACGTGATATTACGTACAAAGGCAGATGCAGGAGCCTGAGGCTGCACATCCTATCGTACTATCGGTTTTGAGTGCACCTCGACGCATCGGATGTTATATCTGCGTGACCTCCTTGTGATGAAGCCGTTGCTGCACGTGCGCGCATCGAAACAGTACTCACGGGCACCGGTACAAACTTGTGGTACCGGACCTGATGCGGATAGCTCATGCTCTATTTTTCGAGCTTCGAGGCGCTAAATATTGAAACAGTTTACTCGATAAAATAGTCGAGGCTAACTCGGTGTCGGAATTCATAAAATTCCTAGCCGCTCACTTTGCAGAATGCAGATTTCGAGGGTGCGTCGCAATTGAATAGGATGTCGTACAACTCAGTTGTGTTTATGATGCGCGGTATAAACTGACGTTATTCCGCGTGTGTACTCTACACTATATCGATGGAACAACACAGATCTCTATCTCTGTATTTTCAATATTCAATATTCGATCATTGTTCGCTACTCCCTCGTGATCCGCACTCAGTTGCTTAACTCTTTGGAACTGTGTTTATTTTTCCCTTTCGCTACTAGAGTGTGCATTTTCTACCCAGTTGCTCATTAATTAATGTCCACATTGTTTTCACCCTACTTTCTACCCTTACTTGCTTGGAATCATACGATATCTTTTCGTGAAATAACAAACGAATAGCGTTACATGCGCTTATCATAGTGATGTAAGAGGTGCGGGTATTACAGGCATTAGCGAGATTAATCTTTGGTGCAATCACCTCGATTTTCGCATTCACAGGGACTCAGAGGGACCAAATTTGCTTGGAGGACTTGTGCGGTGCATTTCTTTGGGAAGCAGTGCGAACTACAAAATAGAACTGACTTCAGAGCGTTTTTGGTCGTGTAGATCGCTGCATCCTCCTTTACGAACTTCAGGGCTAACAGATCGTAAATTGTACCTTGGGCTGGATACTTGCATTTTTACTCCAACGCCATTTGAATGTGCGATTTCGTAGCGCCCTGTCTGACCCCATAGAGATAGACTATATAGCGTCCCACAAGGTTCAGTAGTAGGATCACGCCTATTTTTAGTATGCATAAATGACCTCGCGCGTGAGTGATCACCTCACTGTTTCTGCTCCTTGCTCGTTATTTCAAGATTTGACAATTACCAGAACGGTAGAGGAGCATGTAGCACTGCAAAGTGAACTGGACAGGGCTTGCACGTGGTCAAGACATAACATGCTCTAATTTAACGCTGCTAAAAGTATAGTATTGAGGTTACACTACCAGCGAACCTGCGAATATTGGTTGGGGAAAAGGTTTTGCAGCGCGCTTTCCATGAAATTGATCATGTGAGGCTCGTGCAGGACGATCTCGGTTGCTCAAAGCAGGCCGAGAAAGTAGTAATAAATGTAAATCAACACTAGGGCCACGTGCGGATAGCGTTTGACCGGTTCGATCTTACCTTCTTTTCGCAAATGCTCAACGCTTGCATGAAGCCACGTGTGGCACCATTGGCAAAACATAACCTCGCTTCTTTTAAAAATCCATATCGCAGGGAGACTAAAAATGGTACTGGCTTACTCCGTTTCTTTTACCAAGTTGTACTAAAGATCTTAGGCGTTTTCAGTGAATAGTATCGTCTTCTGCGAGATGCTCTTATACGGGTGTATCGGTTCCTCACGCATCCAAACTATGCGTGCGATGCTCTTTGAAATGCAGCCGCAACTGCTCACTGGGAGGCCACTGTTTGAAGTTGGCCATCTACAGTGTGACCAGTTGGCCTGCCGCCGGAACGTATTCTTTAATCGTATATCCCAGATATGGAACTTTCGTCCATCTTCTGTCATCTCCGCTCCTACATTAGTTGAATTTAAAATTCAGTTTTAATGTGCATTACAGCACCTGCATTACATGAGAAAACCCGTTATCTGGACGGGTGATTACGTAACCAAACTGTGTCCGCATGTGAACGTCGTGGTGAGCGCATTGCTGTTTCCTTGATACATTCATTTTTTTAAGCTTTACCCTTTGCTTACAGTTGTTAAACATTTGCTTTTGTACCCCTAATAAATCCATTGTTTCATTGACTGCGTGCACTTTCAACGTAATTCGGTTAATATAAATTCACTCCTAACCAGTTTAACGGCCGTGTGTCCGGTCGGCATCGACTCAGCAACGCATGTGCGCTGGAATTGCAATGCACACTTGCGTACGAGTCGATGTTCAATGAGGCATATGGTATAACTAGGGGTCAATTGTGCCATTGCAACCTTTTTCACAAGTGCGCGAGTTCTACCGTGAATAAGGCGAGTAATTTTCCGAGAGCTTATGCCTATCGTGTTACGTAATCGTAACTTCCGTATCCATTGTTAGCTAGCTCTATACTCGTTCACATTGAAGATGCGGGTGTGGCTCCCTATCTGACGATTCTACCGTCAACGGAATAACATAGCCTGTACTCCTTGTAAGCTCGGCCCGCAGCCTAGAGTTAACGAGCCTGTCTTGCAATCTTGCGGCGCAGGTTCGAATCCGTGTAGGGGTGGGCCTCCTCGCGGTATACTCAGCTCGCTTGCGACTGGTGGTGGTCGCACGGTAGCCAAGCGCCGTTACGGCGTACAGCTGACACATTATTATTATTATTATTATCATTATTATTATTATTATTATTATTATTACTTCTTGTTGGGTGGTAAAAGGTGGCTTTAGGGCTCAGTTATATCATTGGAGGGCATTCAAAAGTAGTTAAACATGTCTGTGTGATGAATTCATTACCTGCATCTCACAGTTGTGGCCGGCCCGTAGCCCTAATAATCACATACCCGCTGCGTAACCCGAGGGCGATGGTTGAGCCTACGTAGGGACCGGATGACCCACTCAGTATGCTTAGTGCACGTGCGACTGGTGGTGGTTGCGCGCTAGCGAAGCGTCGGTACTGCATACCGTCGTACTGCTGATGCTCTTTCAGTTGTCCTACCCGATATTATTCGAAGCAAAATTTAAACCATCCCAACGTTTCAGTCTTCCACATTCTTTTCTAAAAACAGATAATCTTTTTTCCTTTTCGACTGTGGTGGCCCTCAGGATTGTCCTCGTTGCTCTCCCCACTTGTGCCCAGTGAAGCCAATCAAACTCTCATTTACGGATGCCTTGACCACGTTCAACCCACATGCAAATTCCCGTCTTGTACCCCACTCCTTTACGCTGACGCCAATGCTAATGTGCTGAGCTCATCACTGATAATGGCTTGCCATCTTGCACCAAAAGGTATCGATGAATCCTTAGTGAGCGTCAGTTTTGAGGCCAAATCTTTCGTTGGCGAAACTGATACTGCACCGCAACTGAGGGACGAATGGGACCTCCTCGGCACGATACTGGTCTCCCTAAGTTAAGCAATGGCGGCTAGCGACTTGTTTAATTTCCTGTTCCCCAATCGCTCTTGGTGTATTCTACAAGTTGGTGTCAATTCTCGTTGACCTACAGCGAGACGAAGTTTCCTGTTTGTCTGTTGTTCTAGTTGCCACTAAAAATGCTTTGATCCAAATTCCTATTTTACTATCTTCTCGTGATTGGTGTTGCCTCTACTCCTAGGGAGCCAGCCGGAACGCTTGCGAGCTCAAATTTACGGTGGTTTAATACTGCTGTTCTGAAAACAAATCCGCACTTACTATATGGATGACTTGTTACATGCTTGAGGACTTGTCTGCCGAAATTTGCTCCCGAAGATGGAGATAAGTTTTCGAGTATGATAGACACGTAAGTTGTCCAAAGGAGGTTGAACGGTGAAAGCTATTGTTTATCTTATTTGTGGGCTGGGTTATGGTAATGATTCTTTGCCTTCCGTGTACAATCTTCTGACCTAACGCACTCATATGATGCTCCCTGTTGCCTCTTCTCGTGAGGCGACACCGACGAATGCACCACCTTGGCAGTTCGCCTCCTCTAATCAATGAGGACCACCACTTATATATACATATTTAGCTCCCTGGAAACGGGGGGCTTCGAGCTACACTACTCATTGGGGATTCTCAACACATCTCATGAATATGTGCGAATAGCTTGCTGAAACTAAATTGAACAGCCTGTTTTGCCATCTCAATATTGCAGGTCAGCGTCACGATAACATCGACGGCGCCGGACACCAGCGAAGGCGAGCAGCAGGAAATCCGACAGCTATCCAAGGGCGAGTACTTCGGAGAAAAGGCTCTTTTGGAGGAGGGGCGACGGACCGCTAGCGTGTATGCCCTTGGTCCGGATGGGGTAGAAGTTTTATGCCTATATCGAAAGTAAGTGCGATTTACCACTTATTCGCTTTTTGATCCTTACTTTATGGTATATTGCCCACTTTTTTAATCCTCGGCGCATATTGTGAACTTCCCATCACGAGTAACTTCATTTTTTCGGTTAGCAAAACGTCATCTTCTTGTCTGCTTCAGAGATTTCTTGGAACTTATAGGTGATATGCAAGAACTGAAGACCAAATCGTACGTTGAAGATGGGGGTATGCTAGCCACAAACAAGTGAGATCTTTTTTCGTACACCTTCATTTCTTAGCTGATCGCGAAGTGCGATGATTGGAGTGAGCAGCACACTAACCTGTCCCAAATTTCTGATTGTTTTCTTCCTTAAGGCCGGATCAGCATTCGATCATCGGCTCCAGTCCGGACAGTACTCACACCGCAAATCAATTGCTTGTCTCACACACACCACCAACGAATGTGACTGAGCAAGCGATTGCGCATTTTCCGAAACCTTCGGGAGTTTGTTTCGAGGAAGTAATGCAACCCAAACAATCGCAGACAAACATCCAGCTGGATGATTTGGAACGTGTTTGTGTTCTGGGCGTGGGAGGATTCGGACGAGTCGATCTGGTTAGTGGTGCTTTGCTTAGCTTTCTTCTTACCTAGTATACCAAGGACTTGCACGTGAAGTTTTCAGAGTAAATCATGTCAAGTGGTTGTTCTCATTCGCCAATAATTTTTCGCCTATCTTATCGAGTCTATTCGTTGCAGTAAGAACTGCATACGTGAATATGCAGCGGTACAATGTACCGGCGGAGTGCGATCGCACATAAACATTTGGGGGGTACACAACAGGGTCCTTTCTGGCTAGTATCCATCTTACTGCCACCCTTGATCGGTTACCGCTTTTTATGCCCTGGTTGACAAATCGAGGTGATTTGATTGTGTTAAGTCGTGTGTGGTTCTGCTGCGCACGCGAACCCGCTGTCTGGTTAATGTTCCGTTACCGTTCCTCTTAGTGGAGCCGTTTCGTGGCAGCTACCGCGCCGCTGACGGTGTCCAAATCTTGCTCAACTATCAGGGATACTTCCACTACCATATGACTAATTGGCAAGTTTTTCTGGGCAACACTTGATCTATGGTTCTTATTCAAAGTTCACCCAACTCCCCAAACAATGCGTTACACAAGTAGCGTCCTTCTTTGAAATCGACCCCTTGATCTGCTTGTAGCGCCATAGGTGATGCCATACGTGCCATACGTGATGCAATCCTTACTGAATGCGATCCTACTAAAATTCAATACATCGAAAGAAGAAATCCTTCGATGTGCCTTTCTGCTACGGGAGACTACGTTACGGTTGCTTGGTGGTCTGCACCCACCGCTACATAAAAATACGTATTCCGACGCTTTCTGATTGCTTCTGATTGCTTTTGATTGCGTCTTATGTGTAGAACAAGGTGTTTGGCATTACGCTGTGCTTCCACATGCGTTATTGCTAACAAACTGACAAAGCTGTTCCATCCTACATCGTTTTCCTCAGGTCACCTTGAATTATGACCGGACTCAGGCCTTTGCATTGAAGCGAATGCAGAAGCACCATATTGTCCAAACTCGGCAGCAGGCGCACGTCTTCTACGAAAAGGTGATTTTATACTCCGTCGATTCTCCGTTTATTTGTCGGTGAGTTTTACCCAACACTTTCCGTGTTTCGCTTCTGTGTATTGTTTTGCACTTGCTTGTTGTGCCACCGATTGACAGAGCAAAACTCAGTTTAGTTAGAGTACTCAACTATCTCTTCGTCCCGTACTTTTGTTGACTCTTCTTCCTTGGGTAATGTTTGGAACATTTTTGGTCTTCAGCTGTTAGACGCGTGCAGCTTATTCCTTTTGTTGGTTCCAAAAGCCTGGTGATAGTATTTGATCCCTCCAAGTGCACTGGCACTGATTAGACAGAGCCTTGATCTGAGTGACGAAAGAGCCTTTTGTGTACCTTGCTGCTCACACGTAGCTGTCAGTTTTGTTTTTACCAGCATGTGATCTTTCAGAATTGTGACATATAGTGTCAGGTGTTCAAAATCTATTAATCGCAACTGCTTGTTGTCTCCACTGTACAACATCATGCTTTGATCCCTATGCTGCTTTATGTGAGTTTCTCTTCGCTCTTGGGATCTCGACTGCGAATACATTTATTGTTGCTTTGTTAGTTGTTTGAGCCATAATACTTTGGTGGACTAAGTTCACTCTCGATGTTAGCCTTGTTGAGCCAAGTCGTTTGCCACCGGTCAGCTCAGTCGCTAGTTACTTGCGCTCATGGTCCTCCTACTAGCACTTCACAATTAGCAGTGTCTCTTGATGTCCGCTCCACATTTTCGATTTCCATGCGACCATGCTGCTCTTAGCCAGATTTGCCCGCACTTAGACCGCAACCTACTCTGAAGTGAATCTAACCCATTTCGCTCACTGGGACTTAAGCGAAATATTTAACTGTCATCTGTTCTCACTCACATCACTGCGTTCCACGACCATTGCCATCCTCACTTGAATACCTCAGGCAAACGTAGGGTCGAATTCGAGCAAGCCATTGAACTACTGTACGAACGAGCCTTGCGGGTAACGCTCATCGTGACGATCAGCGCTTGTTGTGTTGTGGACTGTGACATGCAATCCCCATTTTGGCTGCGACTTCGTTTGATGTGAATGTCGACCATTGGGACCTTAGCTAATGCACACTTAGCTTCGCTGGCCTCCATCGTTGGATTCATTCTGTAGTCCTTCTTGTTGTGTCGAGCTCCTCGACTGCCTCCACCCAATAGCAGTATTGAGAACACAGACCAGTAGGAACAGCACTCGGGATTCTTTTCATCAGAGAACGATACTGTTCTACGACATGACGCATAACTGTAGAAACCAAGCAGAGAACTAAAAATGTGCGAACCAACGGAGTGAATACTGATCGTGAGTAGCGGGATTTTAGTTGTACTTTTAAGGTATTCATCCCAACAGCTCACAATCTACATAGCACAGCCTATTGGGTCTATACTATGTAGCTTGTGAGCTGCTGGAATGAATAGCTTAAAAGTCAATAATGCCCAGACAAATAAGGAAGCAATCTCAGATGCACACGGATTAGCGTCAGATCGGAACTGTGTGATCCCTACCCAACAACAACAACGCTAAACAGGTAATGGCGCTAACGGAATCTTCACGTTAACAACAAATCTCAGTGAATGAGCACAAGAAAACGTAAGTCTGCTATTACGAACGTGTGTATCAGCATACCCGAGCTTTTATCCTTCCTTTAACATCTCTTCTTGTAGAGAACACACAAGCTTGACAGCGTGGTACATGAACCGTTAAGCTGCGTATGGCAGGAGCTTTACTGGTCTTGCTGACAGATCGCTCGATGCAAAACATGAGTGTTAGATCTAGTGGACGAATGAAGTTGGATGGAGTAATTAAATTGGTTCTGAAAATCTTGACAAAACGGATCAAGAAGTCAACCAAAATGTTTGCCGGAAGCAGCGCCGTCGTGCTATCAGTGCAGATCAATTTAACCAAAAGTTCGGTCTTTAGATTGACAAATAAGGAACTTCACTCCGCGTATTAACCGAACCATCACGCATCAAGTACACGGTCACAATCGATCGAATCGGGGAATCGGCACCGCGCAGGGTCTTCGCAACGGACTCAGGGCTGATTTGCGGGTGGAAGGCAAAACGACAATGGCGATAGCGCGGACATATATTTGCCGAGGTCTGCTCTATTCAGCAGTAGGTTCGGGTGTATCAGTCGTTCTTCGAAAGCTCTGAGAATTGCCCTTCAAATAAGACTAAAAATGCTTTGGGCACAGAGCACGGGACAATTCAACCTTATCAGTAGCGCCTCGCCAATTGCCAACAACCTCGGGTTCCTGTTGGCGTAGAACACACCAAATTGACGTTCTGATAGCAGTCAGCAAACGCAAATTATATCGGATTTCTTTGTGGCACTGAGGATAACTCTTCAAACCCGATCGAAAGAATTTAACTAGCCGGATTTGGGGCGAAGTATGGCAACGGAAATCCAAAAAATACAATCGGAAAGAAATGGTGCGTAGTTCGCTTGTGTGACTTTGACGGTGTTTATTTCATGCTACTTTTAACCGTTCTGCCTGGTTTCTTTTTTATTCTTGCGACTGCATGCTCTTTCTTGCCTTTACCTTTCACTATTCCATTCCTATTAATTTTGCGCACTTTTTTCTTCTTAGTATTCTATTTGCACTGCACCTCACCTTTTCGTCAGTACTATCGTTTCTTGTCCTGGTGATGTCACTCATGCCAGCTGAATCCACCGCAATTCAGCGTATAACCACTGAAGTCGGTTCACGTTTCGCTAAAACTATAACTGGCTCCCTAAATCTACGATATACTTGGCATCGAAAGGGTGTTCCCTTCAGTCTGAAAGGCCTTCAAGTCTTTGATCATCGTTTTCTGCAAAGCATTTCTGGTGTCGGCTGGCATCAGCGTGTCCGCAACGATGATGTGCGTAGGCGAGTACTAGGTAGTGATAATCATACTCTCTCCCTAGAACAACAGATAGCACTGAATACGTTGCATTGGCTTAGGCACGTACTACGTATGCCTGGTCACCGCTTACCTAGGAGGTCCTTGTTTAGTCTGCCAGGTGTAGGGTGGCACAAGGCTCGATGCGGACAGAAGTTGGCTTGGGACCGTGAAGTCACTGACAACCAAACTGGGTGCCGTCGGTCCGTCTCGCCTTCCGGGCTGGAGTCCACGTGACCCGCCTTGTGCTTGGCTCGAGACTTTACGAGACATGGCTCGCAGTCGACACCAGTGACGCGTCCGCTGTCATATTGCAGTCGGACCACTTGTTTAAAGTGTGCTTGGTGCTGATTTATGTGCTGGGTGATTGTACAAAGTGGCTACATCGCTGATGTCGCTTTACATTTGCACGATGACCGCCTTTTTGACCGTGTATTGTTGACATGGTGTAAGCTCGTTTGTTCTGAATCAGCTTAGGGCAGCAATATCCAAAGTCCGACCCGCGTTAACATTCCAATTGGTCCACGGCCTCACCATAAAATAACCAAATTCAAGCTCAGGATTTTTCCTTACAGACGACACTATATAAATTACAAAATACTACGACTTAATGAGTACAATATTCACTGACGTCAAATGCAAGCAAAAATCAACAATGTGGTATTGTTTATTTTTAACCAACTAAAAAAAGTTAGTCCATCGGTTTTACTAAACGGGGCCAAATTAAATTAAAAAATAATAAAAGGGCTCGTTATATATATATATATATGCATATATATATATATATATATATATATGACTAGCTAAAGCCTGCCAGTTCAGAGAACGGGATTTTCTTTTGTAGGTTCTCTGTCTGACTTTTTGTTTTTCTGTAAATTACTTTGATACTTTCTTAGACACAACAGTTTTACCTTTCTGCTTATTTAATTCCACAAACAGCAAAATGTTTCTACCCGACTTTCACAACCCTTATGATAAATGAGTTTTAACTAAACTGAAGAAAATAAAATAGTAGGATTCGTTAACTTTTTATTTCTATGATTTTCATTCGTGTTCTAGAATTGAGAAGCCAACTAAAAAAAGAAACTTATTGACGTAGGGCGCCGCTTCCAGCAAAAGTGGAGCGAAAACGCCGAACGACTGAACAAGTGTGTGTGTGTGTTGTGCTTGATTTGCTTGATGAGTGGCTGTTTTCGTGGAATTAAATATCAAGTGGCACTACCAAACGTGGGATGCCAACTATGACAAGTGGACTAAAAATGAACGAGTTGAGAAAGGGAAGCAAATGTAAGTTTGGTTTACCTCACTTGCAATAAAAATGTTACAGCGTATCTCATTTTCGGTTATCATTTTAATGTCAGACTGAATATGGCTCGACACATTTTTACCTCCGAAAATGTGGTCCTCCTTGCGAAAAGTTTGGACATCCATAGCGTAGATCATTAAAATTTTACGCTGGGCCTATCTTCTCTTCCACCCATTATTTTTCGTTCCGTACTTTGTTATGGATATAGACCAGTGGTACAAATGACTGATGCACTACTGTTGCTACTGACGATGATGTTTACCAAAATTGAAGTGATAGATTTTGTCGTTTGTTTACTTATTGCAGCTGAATCTTCACCTTTCGATGGTGCATAAAGCGCTTGACATGTTATTACTGTGAAACTGATCATTACAGCCTGATCCTTATCACAGTGAATTAGGATTGATTTGTTGTTTGTTTACAGCCATGCCGATGTGACTTCATTGTGTCATGCACCGCTGTTCTGAGTAACTCAAGTACTCTCCCAAACGCTTCTTCATGAACATCAGTGTGAGATTTTAGTTGCTATAGTCATTTTGTATCTGACTTAATTTCGCCGAATTCAGTACTACGATAGCTGGAGAAACATTCATCTTCTCCCTGGTTTGTTCTCTTCACTCCGAACTCACTGAAATGTCCAGTCACTGAAACAAAATCGGTATTCAATCTTCATTTTATCTTGATGGCAATATACGTTTGACAGTATTAAAATCGATGGACACCAGTAAGGAACAGCGCTTAAAAAGTGACAGGTAGAGAATAAAGCTGACTTCACCAAGCTGGAAGCATGTTGGACATCGAGTTCCAGCCGCGGACGGATCCTTATATGCGAGAATGTTAAGAATTACACACACACAGCCCTTTTTTCTCTGTATGGCTATCATTTGGACAGTCCTTTTCAATGGTCTCTTGGCACCTTAACTCCGCGGTGTAGTCCATGATTCGTCAGTGGGCGTGATACTACCAGGTTGCCCAGGCCGAAGAAAGGGTTGTCTTAGGGGGCCCTACCCCGAGCCTTTGATCAAAGATCTAACCTACAAGGCAGCAGGGCGATGTGAGGGCATCGCAACCCGGTGGGAGCCGGTGACCAAAGAGATGCTTCATACGCCTTTCGGTCCGTGAAGGACCAGGGGCCCAACGCACCCTTAAAGTACAATGCCTCTCAGGGAGGGGCAAGGGACAGTGACTTTATTTAGTTGCGAGTCACATCCGCCACGTCGCATTGTTGTTAAACGGACATATGTGGCATTTTATAGGGAGAACGCTTGCCAGGCGAAAACCCACCACGTCCTGGAACACTGCCGCCGAACCATTCGCTGGAACGGGAAAAACCCGAACCACCCAGCTGGCACCACGAAGAGGTTGTTCGGCAAGCCAGACGAATAATGGACTATACCGCTCACTACTGCTACTGCTATGCCGTTCTTCTGTCCTAACTCAACCGCTCAACCTCCACTCACAGACCACCCCACCTCCCGTCCTGCACCTACATGTACTCTTATGTCTTCTACGTTCACCGTCACAAACGACCCACGTCTCACAGCTGATGGAAGTTGTAACGGGGTTTAGGAAACCGGTCCAGTATGCTCGACCTTACCACCTAAGCGCTGGTTACCGGAGTCAGCAGATTAGTTCGATCGAGAGAACGCGTGAACCCACCGGGAGACACAGCGATGGCTGGACAGCGAATCACGAGTGGCACACGTATCCAGAAACCGACAAACCGGATTGGACAATAGAACATAGAGGGCGCACTGGCAACTCGAGAATCGCTATTAACGGCAAGTTTCAGAGTGCAAAGCCAAATATGAGCGGTCCAAAGAAATACGGCCAATCAGATGCCAAGCACGAAAGATTGCGCGAGACAGGAAGACAGCGACCGAAGAGGAATAGCATAACCCAATGAAATAAAAGGGGAACGCGACCAATGAGGTGAACCGAAAAACAGAAGACCCACTGAGAAGGCTCGAAGATTAACAGTGTTTATTTCTTTTAAACAGGCTACCCTATACTGAATAAACGCCTGTTTTCCGCCCGCCGCCATCGTGACTTTTTGATCGTGTCCGTGTCTCATAACAGAAGTAACAGCCAAACTCCCAGTTTTCAGTGTCCTGCGATCGCAACCGCCTCTCACTCCACCGATGCTCCAGCTCTTCTTCGACCTGGTTTTCCATTCATCCTCGCAGGGTTTAATGTTCGAACTTTGATGCAGATCGGACGACAAGCATGTCTGGCCCGTACTCTTGAAACGCTATCGGTAGACATCTGTTGTCTTTCAGAGACCAGATTACAAGACTCGAGCGCCGTCATCAGAATGGCGTCTCCGGTAAACTCTGACGCCAAATACTACTTGCGGCTTTCCGGAGACCCAGAATCTGCCGCCACTGGTCAAGCTGGTGTTGGGGTTGTATTAAGTGCCAGGGCTGAATCAGCCATGCTTGACTGGATCCCAGTCAACAGTCGGCTATGTGCAGTCAGACTAAGAGGTTCATGTAACGTAAGCAGGCGTCGAGATGTTAAGCGTGCCCTGTTTGTCGTCTCCGCCTACGCCCCTACAGACTGCAGCCCGGATGCAGTTAAAGATAGCTTTTACCAACAACTACATGAACTTCTGCGTTCCTCCAAAAGGACGGATATAGTCATTCTTGCCGGGGACTTTAACGCACGGGTTGGCCGCCTTCTACCAAGCGAGCACCACATTGGGGGTAGTTTTGGTCTTGGTGGCAGTCGATCAGACAATGGAGACAGATTGCTTGCTCTTTGTTCTGATCATCGCTTGTTTCTTTCGAGCACTAGTTTTAGACACTCGAGGAGACACTGCTACCTGGCGCCCGCCCTCACAAACGCAAGAGTGCTCCCACCTTGACCACATAGCAATCGGAAGCGTAACGGACTGCCGATCGTACTGGTCAACTTTTCTAGACTCTGATCACGCATTGGTTCGTGCTAAGATTCGCATGCGTTTCGGAGGATCACCTAAGCGCGCCCACTACCGACCGGACGTCGCGAATCTACAAAACGCTGCGATTTTAACCAGGTACCAAGCCTCACTGTCAACCTTGTTTGGCTCAACTATTGACGGTGATCTCGATTCACAGTGGGCGCATATCAAAGATGCTTTAGTTTCCGCCACTATCGACACTTGTGGAGTTAGCCGTCACTCACCTAAACATTGGATTTCCGCCGACTCCTTGTCGCTGATGGACAGACGCCGCTTGATCCCCTCGGATTCCAGACACAGTGAGGAACGCCAATACCTTGGTCGAGAGTTGCGCAGGAGTCTGCAAATGGACCGCGAAGCTTGGTGGTGTGAACGTGCTAGGGAGATGGAGCTTGCTAGTCTCTGTGGTAATACCAGGAAGCTTTTCCATCTCATTCGAGTCACCGAAGGTGTTCGATCTGGTATAAGTGAAACAATATGCGAAGAGGATGGCACCTTAATCACCAATCTTCAACGACGGTTGGAGCGATGGGCCGAACATTTTGGCTCGCAGTTTTGTTGGCCCCCAGCTCCATCTGCTACCTCTGGCGCTCGCGCTGGGCCCGAGTGGTATACCTCCACAGATCCTCCCTCTTCCCAGGAAATCGAGCAGCTCCGGCACATGAAGCGTTATAAAGCCCCCGGCCCTGCTGGTCTTCACCCAGCTCTATTTAAAGATAGTGGCGCATCGCTGGTCCGAGAACTCACCGTTTTGTTCTCGAAAATTTGGTCGAAAGAGAAAGTTCCATCATCTTGGTGTGAATCGATAGTCGTCCCCATCTTCAAAAAGGGCCTACGCACAATCTGCTCCAACTACAGAGGAATAAGCTTAGTCCCCGTCGTTTGCAAGCTGCTGGTGTCCATCATACTTCGCAGGCTATCCCCAACACGCGAATCGTTGCAACGAGAAGAACAAGCTGGGTTTCGCCCTGGTCGCGGCTGCATCGATCAAATCTTCACACTTCGCCAGATCCTCGAGCTTCGCCATGTGTATCAGAGGCCAACGATTGCTGTGTTCCTGGATATCTGTGCAGCCTTCGATTCTGTCGATCGTACAGTACTGTGGCATTGCCTTCTGAGGAACGGTGTCCCCGAGAAGTTCGTCTCCATACTGCGCGCTCTATATAGTCTGACCTCGGGCAGGGTTAGGGCTTATGGCATGCTTCCGCTTATCTTTGTGGTATCCAGTGGAGTTCGACAAGGATGCCCTATCTCTCCGTTCCTATTCAACTTTGCCATTGAGGATGTCCTGAAGAACGCTCTTAGCGATTCGTTGAACGCTGGCGTTGAGCTCCTCCCAGGTAGTCGAGTTGTTGATTTGGATTATGCTGATGATATCGTCTTGCTGGGTGACGATCCACAAATCGTCCAACTTGCATTAAACCGCTTGCCGATTGAAGCATCAAAGTACGGTATGTACTTTTCGCCATCCAAATGCAAGGCTCTCCTTCAAGACTGGCAGGTGCCTCTGCCTGCACTCACGCTTGCTGGTGAGACACTAGAGGTTGTGGAGAGCTTTGTCTACTTGGGAAGTTGCATCACTGCTGGCGGGGCTTTTGGAGACGAGATTTCGATGCGCATCTCAAGAGCAGGTCTCGTTTTTTCTAGGCTGAGGCATTTGTGGCGTCGCCACGACATTCGTCTCTCCATCAAAGGGCGGATCTATTGTGCAACTGTTCGTGCTGTACTGTTGTACGGATGCGAGACCTGGCCCATTCGTAAAGATGACTTGCGCAGGCTATCCGTCTTCGAGCACCGCTGTCTGCGGTCCATTGTCCGTGTGTGGTGGCAGCACCACGTAAGCAATGTGGAAGTTAGACAGCGTGTCTTGGGACGTGGAAGCCACTTGCTCGAGGAGCTCATCTCACTGCATCAACTGCGGTGGTTGGGACACGTATTGCGCATGCCTGTCCAGCGTTACCCCCGTCGTGCGTTGTTTGCACTTGCTGGACAGGGCGGGAAAAGACGGTCTGGTGGACAGCCTACAACATGGAGAAGCCGCATGAAAAAGTTGACGAAACAGTTGGCTTCGGCCGGTTGTTTTCGACTACCTGGTTGGGGTCCGAGAGATGAGGATACTGGCTGGTTGAAGACCTTGGAAGTTATGGCTCAAGATCGATGTCAATGGCGGACGTGTGCATCAGTGTGTTGCGGTGTCCCTTCTTCCTCCCCCTAAAAAAGAACAAACTGAAAAAAATTTAAAAAACTGTGAGTGGTAAAATAGACAAAACGCATTTGTTGTTGCTCTTTTCTTATTATTCATATAGTTTTCCTATTCAGCCATGATTCCGATGGCACAATATCTGTACCACAGATTGTGTATAAGATATATATATATATATATATATATATATATATATATATATATATATATATATATATATATATATATATATATATACCTTAACTCCGCGTCTTTTTGGTACATGTTCAGTAAGTGGATAGCTGCTGCATTATGCTCGTTGCTTACTTCAGTTCAATTAGCAGTCTGTGATGTAGCGTTTCGGGCGTTTGACTTGCAACTTCTACTTACCGCTTTGGGGTTTCGGCTTCTATCTAGCTTCGGTCTCCTTGACAGCATCTCACCTCAAGCACATCCTTACATAGAACCGTTAGTTCATAAACCAGTTAAATCTTATAACTGTGTACCGTCTAGTTCTAATTAGTTATCTACCTTCACTTTTGTATTGAGTATTGTTGTATGAGTATTGTTGTTGTTGTATTGAGTAAGAGTACTGTTGTTGTATTCAGTATTTTTTTCCTTTCATGCGATTAAATAGATTTTCTCCACATTATCAGGCTCTATGCAACCTATCGGGACAGCAAAAACATATACATGTTGTTGGAGGCTTGTCTGGGCGGCGAATTATGGACTATTTTACGTGATAGGTGAGTCTTCCTCTTTTATGATGGACTGCGAGTTTGTATGCTGTCATAATGCCTTAATGAGTGAAGTGTGAGCCAGCGGGAGCTAACGTTATATACCCGACAAAATTGAACCATAACTTCTTGTGCCGGCTTACGTGGTTCATTGAGCTTCGCATGGTCACATTTTCCAGTTGCCTCCAGCCATTCACAACAGAAAGGTCAATGGTTATATATATATATATATATATATATATATATATATATATATATATATATATATATATATATATATATATATATATGGTTGGCGGCCTCAGTACCCGGATTTGCCTGTCACTGTGGCCTACAAGGCGCACACCCACAGGACGCCTGCGCCTACAGAGGGACCGTGGATGGCTTGCGCTGCACCACCCACAGCTCCAACCACACACCCCATGTCCAGTGTAAACCCGAAGGAATAAGACCGGGAGGCATGCGGATAGGAGCTAGGTTTCATCAACGGAGTTGGCCCACACTCCTTCACTGGCAAACATAAGCACGCTGTATTTGGGGATTCAAGCGCACACAAGGCTGTGGCTGAACAGTAATCGGCTCCAAACTGAGTGTATAAAACCGCACTTCGAGCCTAACACGGCCACGAGGACGGTGTACCCTATTGCATCCAGCAACGACCAACTGTTTCTTAGGACCAACAAAGACGAGGTGGTGGTTACTAGACAGGTATGCACCTTGTCAACGCGCACATCAAGCGCACTCACACCGAAGGATGTCAAGCAACAGCCAATCACATGAAATAAAAGGTCGAATAAAATAGGTCGAATATACCATGCGAATATGGCGCTCAATTAGCATATTAATAAATGGATTTTCAAAATAGCCGTGATAGATTCAGTATGACAGAAAAAGCGATCAAGACACAAATGTAACGAGATAAAATAAGCCAAGTTAATCAACTCTAGTTTAAGCGAAATGTGCCATTTACTGGATTATTCAATTACACATTGAAATGAGCTAACAAAGTAACAAAAAGACAAGGTAGCAAACCGCCACTTGAAAGTAAGTGACTCAGCACGTACGCACACGGTTAGTAAATCAAATGCAGCGTACCTACCAACGTTGCGCCGGTTCTGCTTACGTTCTCAGCAGGACTCGTCGTCGTTTCGATGCTGGACCCGAGTGTCCTCGCTCATGGCTCACTAAACCTGCCTGACTCAAACATCCGCGACCGCACGTGCTACAGCATCATGCGCTCAAAGTCGATGGAGTACAGCGTATCGGTACCTGTCGCTTTCACAATTGCCACTTCTCCGCATGCACGAGGGCTTTCTCTTGTACCTCGACAACTGCCTTCGTCATCAGATCGTGCCATGCACGCCGATCGACCGCTTTCGATTCCCATGACCTGCAATCAAGATTAGAACGTGAGCCGCTCACGTTGATCATGTCCTGTTAACGGAACTTCGGTTTCTCCACATGCCGCTTTCTAAAACCCAGTTGACCAAATAATAGCTGCTTCGGTATCCGGGTCGAATCCATGCGGCGAATATGCCCGAGCCACCTCAGGTGCCTCAGGCGATTGATGCAGTCCACTGCATACATGCCACTGCGTCGGAGCAACTCCGTGTTTGCTACTCGGTCACTCCAGCCGATGCGCATAATAACGGCGCAGACACTGCTGATGGAAGCGCTCTAGATATTGGACATCCTTCCGATAAAGCGTTTAGGTTTCGCTGCCGTATAGAAGAACGGATAGCACCACAGATTTATATAGCAGCAGCTTCGCCGCAGCAGTGAGCTGGTGCTTGTTCCACGCACGGCATTCCAGCTTGCCAAAAGGTTAACCAACTTCGATACGCGGATGCGCAGCTAGTACGTCATCTGCTGGTCGCTTGTTATTACGCTACCAAGGTAGCAAAGTCCCGAAGTGGTTTTTAACAATTCGTCGGCAATCTGGATTTGGGGCAGGCCCATGGACTCCATTCCGGGTGAAGACTGGAATAAAAAAAGGTCTTGTTTGTGTTGATGGTGAGCCCGAATTTGGCCGCTGTCGAAGCCAGAGCACTAGTCATGTGCTGCAACTCCTCTGCGCTGCGTGAAAACAACGCACAGTCGTCAGCAAACAGCAACATATGGATAGTTGTCTCACAGACTAGGGTTCTCGCACCGAAACGACGGATGTTCAGCAACGCACCATCAATACGGTGCTCCACACGAACACCGTAAGCACAAGCCGCATCAAAAGCACAAGACAACATTGCATGAAGATATATATTAAACAGGGCAGGAGCTAAGACACAGCCTTGCTTCACACCAGAGACAACTGCAAAGTCATCCGAGGTCTCTCCACTCAGCCGCACCCTCGCTCGCATACCACTGCGCAGACATCCAATTAAACTTACAAACTTACGTGGGCAACCAAACTTACCCAACACCAGCCACAGTGCCTCGTGGTTCACCATATCAAATGTTTTGGTGGAATCAACAAAAAGCGAGTACAATGGCTGGTGTCGTTCTCTGCACTTCTCTTGCAACTGACGAGCCGCAAACACCATATCTATAGTGCTGCGACCCGAACGGAATCCACATTGCTCTTCCGCCACGTTAGGTTCCACAATCTGACTCACGAGGCGATTGAGCAGGATTCGGGCAATCACTTTGCCCACACAACTCAGCAAGTTGATGCCACGATAATTCGTGCAACATTGCTTGCTCACTTTGCCCTTGTACAGTGGTAGCACAAGGGCATCCTTCAGCTCAGGAGGCACCTCCTCCTCAATCCATATGCGTTGCACCAAGTGGAGCAGCGCAGTCAACAACGCGGGTCCACCGTGTTTCAATAGTTCAGGCGGGATCCCGTCGGCACCGGCACACTTGCCGTTTCGCAGCTGAGCAAGTGCTCTCTGCGTCTCATCCAGTGTCGGCGTGTCCGCCAGATTCGACTTCACATCGTGCTGCTTCAGGCCGTTCAATGTAGGCCAGTCGATCTCTGAACGGTTGTTCAAGAGACAGTCGAAGTGTTTTCGCCAGATCTGCATTATGTCTGCAGTCTATGTGCAGGTAGCGCCTGAACTACCATCGATCAGTGTCCTCAGAGGCTCCAATCTCGGTCCATACACCGCCTTCAAGGAGTCAAAGAATTCCTTGTGTTGGCGGCGTTCGGCGTAGCATTCCATCTGCTTCGCCTTCACCGTCCACCATTCAATTTTATGCGACGGAGCTCTCGGGACAGTCGCCGTCGAAGTTTGCGAAACTGACTACTCTTTCCCAAGTCACTGGGGTCTGCAACATATGCAGCAAATGCTGCGTTCTTCTCCGACACCAATGCGCCAATCGTCGTATTGTTGTCATCTGCGACCACGGCCAGACGCAGGTGGGTTTTGACGGGTTTGCACCAATTTGACCAGGGGCTGCCTGGCTTGAGGCGGGCAGTAGCAAACCATTGAACACTCGGAGGTGCCCTCCCACCGTCAGAGAAAATGCGTGGCGATCGTGCTCTACGCCGATCGAGCTGTGAGCTTATGACCCTGTTGTCTCTCGTGGCTAGGTTCTACGGGAAGAGGGCCATCGACTACTTCCTAACCTCCGAAGAGGATGGGGTTTGGACTCGGATACTGACAGGGCGCTTACTCCTGACAGGAGAACGACTCGGGTCCTCAGCCAAAGCCTTCGATTAAATGAACAGCCGAAACGCAGCGGGTCTAGGACCTGGTGAGTTCACTGACTGATGCGGATTGGTGTGTTGGATCTTAGCAGGGAGAAGGGCGAAACCCAAATCCCACCCAGCGGTCGCCACGAGGAGGCGTCCAGAACATGAGCCAATGACGCAACGGTAGCAGCAGTGGGTAGACCATCTGTCAGGATCTAGCCACCAACAGCCTCAGCGCACCATAGGCTCTCCAGCCGTATATATATATATATATATATATATATATATATATATATATATATATATGCGATCACGTCATTTGAATGAGCGCTTTTACTGACATAAGTCGCGACAGTCCCTTGTTTGCGGCACAAAAGACTCACCGGGCATGCATTTTGGCAAGGACATGTTGCTTATGAAAACCTGCTGCATTTTGGTTCGGAAGTCGCGTGTTCATGCTGCCAGTGCCTTTGGATGTACAGTGTGACAGTAGCCAAGACGGAATAGGTGCTGTTCTCTTACAGAATGAAGAACCTTTGAATTTCTGCAGTTGAGCACTCACCGTGACCGAGCGGCGCTATGCGCAGATTGATAATGAGTTGCCCGCGGTCGTCTATGCCATGGAGCTTTTCAACAATAATACTTTCGCAAGGAAGACAACTGTGTTTACCGACCACCAACTGCTTGTGTCAATAGTCAGTAATCCATTGCACGTTGTTCCTCGTCGCCTTCAGTGTATGCTTATCCAGCTTCAAATGTCCGACGTGGATATTGTGTACACGCCTGGTGCAGAGATGTTCATCGCGGATACGCTGTCAAGAGCTGATCTGCCGGAATCCTAGCATAGTCCGCATGAGATCGAAGCAGTAAACCTGGTACAGCATCTGGCAGTAACCGGAGATCGTCTAAACGAAGCTAAGGCGCCACACAGATGAGGATGCAACATTTTCAGCTTTGCGCGACGTTATGATACATGGGTCACCAAAGACAAAGAAGCAGCTATCGAATTCTCTGTCTATATTGGTTTACTGTTCAAAGGAAGCTGTATTCTACTCCCGTCATCGCTCCGAGGAGAACTGTTGAAATAGGTTCATCGCGCTTAGCTGGGTACCAACTATACCTTTAAGCGAGTAACCGAATTGATGTTCTGGCCAGGAATGACGGCTCAACTAAGAGATCGTGTATCGAATTGTGAGGCGTGCCGTTCACACCAAGTCCGGTAGATGAGGGAACCAATGATGCTTCATGATGTCCCAGACCGACCGTGACAGAAGGTGACGGTGGATTTATTCAGTGATAATGGGAAAGATTACCTACACACAGTAGATTACTATAGTGCTTATTTTGAAATCGATTTACTCACCACTGTGACCAC